GTAAACTGAAGAAGATGGATTTTCTTCTCCTGATTTGAGCTAAATGTTGAAAGAATTTAATGTCTGAAGTTGTTTCCCTCTTAATGTTGTCAGATTAATAAAATAAAACACTTCAGTTTAAGATTATTCGTTTAGATGCGTCATTTCAGTGAGCGCTGATTGTAATGAAACTTGCAGGAAGTTATCAATGGATGCACATCTACAACACAGAAATGGGTTTAACTCGGTTAATTTTGCAAACGCTGAACTAAAGCTGTGTGTGGCAGTAGCTGAGAGTCATTCTCAACACGTATTCTGAGCGAGACGTCTTGTGAGTAACGTTACACACAAGCCATGACTAAAACCACTACAGCTTTGTCGTTTCTTAGACTCATGTCGGGCCTGTAATTATCTGTGCTTTGGTTTTAATTAGGTAATAAAACTGTTCTGAAATCATGGCGGAAGTGAAAATGTTGCACAGGCGCTGATTATTTTCTGTGTTCAGAGAAAAGCACAAATCAAAGGGAGTTTAATCACCGCTGTGTCCTCAGCAGACCTTCCTCTCATTATATTCAAACTGTTCCTCTGTTGCTCGTGGGCGACTGAGAGGAAGAAAACGGGCTGTTTGTTCTTCTAAATCCATAATTTCGTTTGAAGTAAAGAGTTTTATCCACAATTAATGTTGCGGCCAAAAACAAAACTTTAATTGTATTAGAAAAGACTGCGTTGTATTATAATTTTTACTCGATGCAGAGCTTTGTTTGACTCAGACAGGTACAAATCTACAGCACATGGCTCAGTAGCTTGTATCTCAGTTATTCTTTAGTGTTTGTTTTTAAAGCCTGACGCCTCAGAGAAATAATCACTAAAATAAACTCATGCTGAGCCTCATGAATACAATATTTTTGAAGTTGTGTATAACTCTGGAATTTGCAGTGTATTACATATTATTTAAGAAAAAGATACGGCTCATCTCTGGCAGTTTCTGATGATTTTATGACTTATTTGAAGCTGATCGTGTCATTTCTTGTTGTATAAGTTTGCGTTACAAAGCAGTGGATCAGTTTCTTTAATGCGTGCCGCAGTGTGAAGCCATGCACTGTCGTTGCATTTTCTATAAGTTTCATAGTTGTACAAATATTCTTTAGGAAAAGTCGGGACCTCAAGCAGCCCAGTTCAGTACTGGTAATGTTTTGCAGTGATCCATCCATTATCTTTTACCCAATTATTCCTTTCTTTTTGGGTCACGGGTGTCCCTGGTGCCCACGTCCAGACCAGCAGTCACTGTGCAAGAGGCGGGGGACACCCTGGACAGGTCTCCAGTCCATCACAGGGACACACAAGACAAACAACCATTCACTCTCTCACTCACACCTAGGAACAAGTGAGAGTTACCATTCAGCCTAACATGCATGTTTTTATCTGTGGGAGGAGCAGAGTACCCGGAGAAAACCCACACCTGCACAGAGAGAACATGCAAACTCCACCCAGAAAGGCCCCCGGCCGGGATTCGATTCGGTGACCTTCTCACTGAGAGGCGGAAGCTCTACCAACTGCGCCACCGTGCTGCTGTTTTGCAGCGAAGCGTTCATAAAAGGTTCAGAAAGTGTTTCTGGTTTGTCTCATTGGAAACTGCGTTACAAACAACATGAAGATGCACTCCATACACGACTGAAGATTTTTTTTTATTAACACTTAAATGGTTTGTTTTTACTTTAAAAATAAGTAATAAATTAAAGGGTTAGCCATCTTTGATAGATGCACCATCACCCTCTGCCTTTCATGACAGAGTCTGAAATAAAATGTCAAATAATCTCGTCAGAGTTTGATTAAACCCTGAAAATAATCTCATCTATGATCTCTTGTGGTATCTTCAATGATCTTGGAGTACGTGTTGTGAAAGACTCTCAGCTACTACCACACCCAATTTTAGCTCAGTACTTGTAAAACTGACTGAGTTTCAGCCATTTTTGTTTTGGCTAACATCAGTCAGCTGTGACCGCCATCTTGAATTGAACTGATGCCAAAGACAATCAGTAATTACTTTCTGAGAGTTGCATTGATTCATTCATTCAGTGGTTCTTGTGTTGTGAATGATTCTCAGCTACCATCACACCAAACTTCAGCTCATGCTTTGTAAAAAGGACAGAGTTATAGTGATTTCTGTGCTGGCTGTGGCAGCCATATTGAGTTAACCCCAAAATCTAATTAGCTGTGGACGCACATCCAGTGATTGTTCCCTGAAAGAGCTTTTAAACAGTAAACTATGAAACAAGGAGAGCCCGGAGCAAACCCAGGACTAGTCTGGAAGGATTATATCTCTTCTCTGGCCCGGGAACACGTCAGGATCCCCCAGAAGGATCTGGAGAGGGAGGTCTGGGTAACAGGCAGACAGTTTTTCCTCATTTACATTGAATAAATTGTGGATTTATTCAATTTTGAACACCATTTGAAGGATTTGGGATCCTAAAAAAACACATAAATTCATATCTTTGAGTGTAAACATCAGCATACGTGTGAAAGCTGTGTGTGTGTGTGTGTGTTTTGATGGGAAATGAGCTCTGTAACGTGATGATGGCTCCCATCGTGACATAATGAGGATGAATCAGTGGGAGCTGAGTTACATAAGCAGCTCATCTCAGGCTGACCCAGATTAGAAACACCGCAGATTAAACATCCTGCAAGAAAAAAAAAAAAAACTAAAAAGAACAAAACATCCCATCAGCAGCAGAGCTGGGCCACCTAGAGGTGAAAAATAACTTTACACTTTTTATTTGAAGAAACCTGTTTTCTCTCCAAGACCAAAAACGACCTGAAACTTTCCCTTCTACATGATAAGATATAAAAGCACAAACTTACATTTATTGTCTTAGAATAACTCAGGCCAAACTGCAACAGAAGCCTTTATTACTCAAATTACATTGAATGCAACAATACTTAAAATGACATAAAAGCATAATTAAAAAACGTAAAATAATATAGTATTGATTTGTTGATGTGAAAGATAATAAATATGCTAGACAGCTGGGACAGATCCAAACTATTTACAGCTTTAAAGAGAGAAAGAAGGCCTACGTTACAAACCCACAAAGTTGTGGACATTTGAATAAATTTAAAAGACGAAGACATTGGATCCTCTCAGCGGATGGTGGATATACTGTCGTGTGCTTAAGTCTTACGCACAGTGTTTTGCTTGTGTCTACATAGTGTGTACAGTGTTGATCAAAGTAACCCTGCTTTGGCATTTTGGAATTTTAAACATTCAACACAAATTTTGGAAAACTTGGGACATAAATGATTCATAAACCACATAATAATAAACAGTTTATTTGTAGATGGTGGACCCCTGCCCATCTTTACTTCTGAGAGATTCAGCCTCTCTAAAATGCTTTTTTTATATCCAGATCATCTCCCTCCAGTTTTCGCTTCTCTCCAGTGGCTCCCTGTTAAATTCAGAACAGAATTCAAAATCCTACTACTAACCTACAAAGCCATCAACAACCTAGCTCCATCTTATATTAGAGTTCTTATTGTTCTAAATTTTCCTAACAGAGCACTTCACTTTCAGACTGCAGGCTTACTTGCG